TGCCTCCCTTTATCACCTGACACTTGGCTCTTGGCTTATCTTATTATCTTTATTGCTGCAGCGGGATTTTGCCATGGCCTGTGCGCCTCTCTCCCCTGACGGCTCGGGTGCTGTGCTGTGGCTGAATACATTGGGTGCTATTAATTGTTAGGCCCACCTTCGGACAACTGGTCCTGCTGTTTTCGCTCTTTGCAGTGACTCACTGCTGGGATAAACTTGCCGTTGCTTTGCGAGCTCCGTGGCTGGTGACGTGCCCCCTCCCCCCCCCTTCTGGACTCTGAAGCGGTCCGGGTTCTCCGGGAACTCAACAACTCACTGTTTAATTTGAGAAACTGTTATTTTGGTTTTGTCGTTTTGTTAATTTAGTTGATATATTAGTGTTTTCCTTGTTTAACATTGACCATTGCGTACAGACTGTATTTGGATAAGTTAATTCATTTGGTTGTATTTGTTTGGTTATTTATTTAGTTGTTTATTTAAGTGTAGGCTAATACTGTGTGGAGGTTTTAACCGTCTTCCTCTTGTCAGACAGGTGCTGTGGGCCTGAGGCGGCAACCCCAGTCCCTGGTGGTGGTGTTCTTCACGAGTCCTATTGTTTGGTTTGCGGTGTCACGGGTGGTTTTGAGTTGGACCCTTCCCCCTTTTTATTTATTGCCGCCTGGTAAGCCCCAGCCCTGTCTTGTACCTCCTATGCCCCAGTATGAACTTTTAGCTGATTGTATTATGTGTATCTGGTGTTTTTAGAATAGTTAATTGATTTTTATAAAGTAATTGTGTATAACTGAAACTGTCTCTGGCCCGTTATGTAAAACGCACCTGTGTTCCTTGTGGGTTAAATCTTTATAATTAATAGTTAGTTCCTAGGGGTGAGACTCCCTTAGGTGGCGTTGTTGGCAACACAAACCCTTACCTACACCACACCGTCACATTTGGTGTTGTCGGCAGGATAGCCACATAAAAAGGGCAGAGACATGTTTTAGTTTTTTTTGCTAAATGGTGTGGAGTTTCAGCAGTGAGTGTGTCTTGGTGTAATGTATTTTTTTTTTCTGTATTTTCACTGATTATAGAGCCAAAACAGCTGTGTGTGTGTGTGTGTGTGTGTGTGTGTGTGTGTGTGTGTGTGTGTGTGTGTGTGTGGCACCACAGGGCAGCCATTCTCTCATTCTGGTCAGGTAGCATGCTCCATTTCCTAACCTGTCAGCACGGACAAACTAAACACAGGGCTTTTTGACATTGCCATTTTACATCGCTCATTCTCACTGACAACTCCAATCGAAAGGACTCTTGACATGGTGTCATTCCCAGTGGGCACCCCCAGCAACCTGTGCTGTGCTTACAGTTTGAGTGAGAGATCAGTGCTGTGGCAGTTCTGGAGGTATGAAAGGAAAATGTCACATTTGGCATCCATGCTCTGAGCAAATAACGTCCTTGCTTTTGATTTTCTTTCCAATGAGGCGAGAAATCACCCTTTGAATTCTGATTTTTTTCTCTCTTTTTTTTAAAACACAAAGGTCATTATCTTAGAAAAGGTTGGGAGTTGATCTACATCATACATTTTTCAAGACTGCCGTTGACGTTTTGGTAAATAGTCTCGTTTGCTCAGAGTATTAGATTAGAAGATTGATACCACCTTCATGTAGTCTGACAGGTCTCTCTTGAAAAAGAGATCGATGATCTCAATGAGACCACCTGGTTAAATAAAGGTTTAAAAAAAAAAATTCTAAAGTTAAAGCTGGACAAAAGAAGGATCATGCTGAAATGTAGAATTAGCTGCACAAGCATAAAGCAAACCTTGAGACTCATCCAAGATCTCATAGTGATCTATGTGAGGGTGGCTCGAAAAGTTTCAAAACCCTACCAGGAGGAATAAAAGGGGGCTCTAAGGAGAGTATTGGCAACATCTTCATGTTTACTGAATGCAAGTATGGGTGTTATACCTTGAAATATCAGCCAGTTAGAGGCAACATTTTTGGTAAGGGCACATAACAAAAACTAAGAATACGTTTTGTAACACATGACCTTAGTGTTAGTCCACCAGAGTCAAGCAGCCTACATTGAATGATTTTCCAAAGACCCCTTTAATATAAAAATATTTCCGAAAACCCTTTTTACATGTTTTTGATGTAATTGACAGTTATTGCATTTATAATTCTCCTATAACTTGCTTTATTTTTGAGTGTTTCATATGTTTCTGCTTGAAGGTTTCTGCTAAAAGATGTTTATATATTTCTAAAATATCTATACTATATATGTGACCCGCTCTATCGAAATCAGTCGGAAGTCGCAACGGCTCATTTCAAAATTAACGTGGATTTGCATAAAAAACAATTTTTTCGGGGTTCGGGTGTTTTTCAGAATATGAAACTTTTATTTCCAAACTCACACGATAAATACATTCTTCAAGGGAAGATGACAGGCAATCTGCTCTTCCGCAGCGCCGCTCCCCCTCCCTCCGGCTGACATTATGAATGTAAGCGTAGAGTAATCATAAATAACACGGCAGGGTCCGTTACAGTTTGTTTTCATCTGATTTCAATTAAAACAAAGTCTTGGCTTTCAGAATATTAAACTTGTTTCGGCAAATTCAGATGATAAATACAACTTTGAAGCTTGTAACGGCATAGTTACAAGCGGAGAACGGAGTAACTTAACGTCACAGCAGGCATAACAAAAGCCGGTGTTTCTCGTGAGGGTTTCCCCCGGGAAACAAACGCAATNGGTGGAATTGAGAGTACCGCGAGATTACCGGCCAGGCGCCGGCGGGGGTGGAGATTCGCCGCCGGAGGTCGTTCTTTTTTCGACCTTCTGCCTTTTCTCACTCTGTCCATGCGCCGTTTTCAATTTTCACCTTGCCTCCCATGCTCTCTGTCTTGCTCTCGTTCTGTCTTGTCTTGTAATTGCCTTTTTCTCGCTCTGTCAAACAGGGGCATGGTGACCAACTTTGGCGTGACGCTCTCGTAAGTGACGGCCACTGCACGGCGACCTCAAAACTTTCACTTTGTGGCGAGGTGCGATACACCTATGTCTGTCAAATGTGTCGTGTCATGTACAAGACATTCGATATACGCTGATTTACCATTGGTGAACTTATGCAATACGTTCGTATAACGTTAGAACAAACAACTTATACATTATTTACCTCGAAGGAGTTTGGTCGGGTAGAGAAGGGCTGCTATAATGGGAGACACGTGTTTGGGAATGTATTTACCATTAATTTGAATTTATGGGGTGGACGCCCGAATTCAGGTCACGCCATGATACTACATGTCGTAGTAATTAAATCGACGACGCGCCGAATATTAAAGTCCACGCGGAATTATCAGGCTTTTATGCCCTTAACTTTAGTCTACTTTTTGTTTGACATTGGCCCTGCGGACGGCACAGAACACAAATACCTATAGGAGAGTACGAGAGTATAGTATCTACAGTCCGGCCCTCCCCACCCGCACGACGGGCCTTCTCGTTCTAACCGGCAGTAGAGGGAAATGTTTCGCAATGTTATTCATAAATAGGCACGGCCTCAAACCTTTATTATTAAGTACTAAGACTTTCGGTTCTGACAACACAAAATTTTAGTGTATGTTAAGTGGCGTGGGGGCTTTTTTATGCAAAAAATGCGTTTCGGTGCAATAAACTTACCTCGGCAACGACTGACGGCGACCTAAAGCTATCTTCGCCCAATAAGTAAGTAGTCAGTAAACTCGGACAGGCAGCAAAATCGACAATTTTCTGAGTATACTACCGTTAGGTATGTTAGCCAAGAACTGCAACAAAATTTGTTTCGGTTCCACTTGAAACATACTGCCCTTGTCAAAAAGTTAACACCGGGGTTTTATTTTACACGAAGAAAAGCAAAAGCTTCCAAGGACACTCCCTTTGCACGCTGAGTATGGGCTTCGACTCGCAACAGGATGACATCATTATGGGGCTTGTCTTTTCAGCAGATTCATTCACAGGTTTGGTGCAAAAAAAAATGTTAGTTTACCAATCGGCCAGAGTTTTCCAGAAATGGTCTCTATTACTGAATTATCCTATAAGTTAGTAATTAGTACTGTTGGAGTACTAGAGATTACATGAATACTTAGGCGAACTCTTAGTAATAGCAAAACAGAAAAATCTTCATTCCGACGCGTTCTTCTGACTCTGCCGTTTTCCACCTCTCCTCGCCGACTGCGATTCTTTTGATTTTCCAGAACAATCTTTCACATTGCTGCTACCGGTGGGAGGAGTGACTCCGTCTTTTTTCCACAAAAATTACTGAGGAGAAAACATCAACGGAAAAACACAACGGGAGTCTCGTCCCATCCTGTAAAATCCATAGATTTAGGAGGTCCCTTAGTGCTCGTTAGCTGTAAAAATCCATAGATTAGCCGCACCGTTATATAAGCCCCAGGGTCGAAAAATGGGGAAAAAGGCGCGGCTTATAGTCCGAAAATTACGGTAAACAAAGTCTTGGCTTTCAGAATATTAAACTTGTTTCGGCAAATTCAGATGATAAATACAACTTTGAAGCTTGTAACGGCATAATTACAAGCGGAGAACGGAGTAATTTAACGTCACAGCAGGCATAACAAAAGCCGGAGTTTCTCGTGAGGGTTTTCCCCGGGAAACAAACACAATACACACAAACGCAAAATTACACAAACACACACACTCACGAGCTACCCCCGGACCAGTAATCCAAACGAAAATACCTTCCCTCCGTAGTATTTTGATCATTTGCTCCGCTAATAATCAATCAGATCGATGGATTCCAGAGAAGAGAAAACTTTGAAGGCCTTTTTCTCAAAATGATGACTCGGTGACAGTCATTATATAATGTGACATAATTCGCTTAATATTTGGAGTACAACAACAATCCTGATTTCATTAGAAAGCTAGGAATCTCCTCTTTCCAACAGTGTATACAACTCAAAATGTGTCTTCGGGTCAATGCGACTGATTTCGATAGAGCAGGTCACATATGATATATATTTTTTTAAAACCCACTTTTGAAATGGTTAGATTAGGAAAACAACAGCAGCCACTGGCCTCTTCTGAACCACAGATGCATTATAACTATGACGGAGAAAAGGCAGACGCACCTGCACACAGCTGAGATTCCCATCCCATCTGTAAACATTAGTGAAAGGTCTTCTGTCCACCGGGCAGGACGGAGACATCTGCAACTACAAAATGAATCAAACAGTTAGAAAAGATCAAACAATTAGTGTAAAAAAATATATAGGTCTTAAGAGCCTTTTTTTATGATACAACAAATTGTATAATTCACATCATCAGTTCTAACAGTTTTCACTGATAGTCACCTCTGCCCATGTGAGGAGACATCTGAGGCAGAAGACGTGGCAGCAGCTGTCGGGCACGGCGAGCTCGCCTCCAGCCAGGACGCAGAGGCAGATAGGACACCTCTCCGCCTCCTCAGCGTCCCCCCCATCAGGCGGGCCCTGGCCTCCTAAACACCAACACAAGTTTTAAGTTATTGATGTTTTCTACTTAGTGTGAGCAGAAGTAAGCTGCACTTATATCCAGCTTTAGCAATGTAGGGATGTTAAACTACAACTGATAATTCATACTGCTCATGCAAAAGATATCCCAACATTTGCCCGACAACACCCTTGAGTGTGTAAAGTCTCACCACTTCCAGCTCCAGTCATGTCTGCCCCGGGCTCACCTGATCACTGCAAAACAAAGAAGAGGAGAAGGTGACTGTGACGCAAATGACAGGAGCTGATTATGTGCACTTTGTTGTCATTTTGTTCAGCCCTCAGGAAGATGTAATTCAAAGACATGAAAGAAAATACTGTAAAAAGACAAAAGTGATTTGAAACCTGTTAGATTGTCCCATTTACATTTACTACAGGACCAGTGGTTGGCAATCAGTTCACTGTGTTTCCCTCCTATTTTGCAAGAGTGGCTTTAAAATGGCCCGGACACCTGAAGTGGATCGCTGCTGAGGCTACCAGATGTACAGAGGCCTCAAATATTACAGATTTAACATATTTATTTTGCTCTCAAGGTGCACCTGATTGATGCATTTCATCCTTGGTACCAGGATAGTGATTGCTCTTTTCCTGCATGTTTGTGTTTAGCTCAGCCTCTGCAATCAGTCATGATAGTAAATGTAGTCGGTAGAAGCAATAAATCCCTCAGTGCGTGCTGTATTGATTGAGCAGGTACAGCATTCAGCACTGTCATTCTAGGTGACGTAGTTGTATGCTAGGAAGAACTACAAACTGCTTAAGCTTAGATTTCTGGTCTAAACGTCTGGGTGCCTCTAAATCAGGGGTGTCCAAACTACAGCCCGGGGGCCAAATGCAGCCCATTTTGAATCAGCCCTCAGCAAATTAAAATAGTATAATAAAATATGGCCCACAAATTCAACATCTGCCATTGTAGTTCTTACATATTAGTATTCATGTGTTAATAAACCACATTTTTCAAAAAATGCAGTCAATTAAAGTTGAAAAAACGGTCTAACCAATCTTAGTTGATAAGAAAAAAGCCCAATAAGACATTTACATAACAACCTTGAAATATACCCTTAATATTTCCTCTTACTAGTAATCTGAGCCTCCTGTTTTAAGGAATGAGCTGCCAACACAATAAATGAAACCCTACGGAGAGCTGTCTGTTTTTTTCATCAATATTAACCATAATTTACCTACATTTGATTGATTTTTCTAACTTATAACTTATGAGGCAATATACCTCTAGTGAGCGGCCCAGCCCATCGTACATTTTTCTGTACGTGGCCCTCGGTGAAACAAGTTTGGACAACCCTGCTCTAAATGATGCTAGGAAGATATTTTTTCTGTACTTTTCACAAAAATGGTATCCCGAGATGCAAAGGATGTGATTTGTGCTGACTCGGATATTCAGCCATATGTGTCCAAGCAAAAGCCCACGGCCAAAGAAATACAGAGGAGAGAGGCTGAAGAGGAAACAGCAGGCAGGGACCCTGGGCGTCTGAAGCTCACTCCCAATGCATCCTGGTACATGTAGGACCCGTCGACTGCGTAAGAGTGAGATTCCGCTTTATCTGTCAATATAGCACAGACCGAAGAATGTACTGCTTGCACTGACTGGACATCCACAAGGAAAAGCGTGGACTTTTCTCTCTCCAGAAATAAAGCCACATTGCCATCTCCTTTGGAAATGACACTTGTGGTGATTACTTAATTAATCAGCAATAATCAACAAATTGATGTCTTGAGAAAATCTGCTCAAAGCTTTTGCTTTTTTTTTTGTACTAATTTGCAGACTCATTTAAAGCATAATTGAAAAGGATCCCCTAATTGGAAGTTATAACAATTTAAGGAAATTTGACCATGAACAATCAATATATTTTGTTCACTTTTTATTGGAAAAATGATGGGATGGGTAGTTTCTAAAATGTATTTTTGCTCAATGTTTGAGAATATTAGAAATCAGACTACTCATAATTTAAAAATCCATATGAAGGGATGGTATAATTGAGTGAACTTGAAACATTTGAAATCATTTATAGTCTGACTCACTTACTCGTAGTAAGTTGCCTAAAACCACAGAGCTACTAACCAGATTTGTGATCAGGTGTTTGTGATCAACTCTGATTACTACTTCCAGTTTTGTTGTCAACCTGAATGTTATTTACCTCCAGAGTCTTGGTGAACAAACATGTATCCAGCTGACTTCTAGCCTTAACTTGAGATTTAAACTGAGAATGATATCTGATCTGGAATCATTCTTTGCTTCATCAATTTCATTATGTAGATCTTCAAATGTGAAACTTGTTCAACAGACTCATACCCACGGTTTCATTTCCAAACACAGGCAATTAGTCACTAGCCTTGAGCTAAAACTGTCACTATAATGTTTCCATCTACAGAATAACTAGTACACCTGACATTCTCAAACAAAAGCCCAACGCCACATAACATTATTCTGTAAATGCACATTACATTATATGATAGATGAGGCTAGCGGGCAGATAGTTATTGAAGCTTGTTGCCGTTCGGCGCCAGCACGGCCTGGCTGCAGGAGACACACAATTAGCCCAACTTGATCAACCAGTGCCAACACGACGATGACAACATGATTGTTGTTGGTTAGCTAGACAGCTATAGCTAGCTAAAAACACAGCCACGCAAGAGCTAGCGTGTTGTTGTTGTTAGCACTGCAGCAAATACTTTCTAATATTAGTCACGGCTATTGCACTGAAGGTCACAAGTTAGCTGGCTAGCTCTCAATGTAGCTCAGAGCTATCTAGCTGGTTTGAACAACAGGACCTTCTTGCGTCGCTTTTAGCTTGCTAGCAGTTAGCTCCAGTTAGCTAGCGGTAAGTCTCGTTACTTACCTTTAAGTGTTGCTGAAGCTGACGTGCACCTGGTAAACTGGTTTTCCAAGCACCTACAATGAAATGCTGACGAATAGCACTATTCGGTGATTGTTTTGGCTAAAAACGGAGCGTAGCATTCAGAAAGTCTCAGCCACATGTCTCGCGGTCTGTGGGGCTGAGAGTTGGAGCCGCTGGCGCCCCCCAGCGGAGCCGCCGAAGAGTGGATTTGATTTATTACAGGGCAAGTGCTGCGACCATAGACTGGCAGCAACAGGTGGAACAGCTGCCTACTACATGGACATAATGGAGTAGTGAACGTTATTTCAATTAAAACACTATATTTTGCTGTACCTTTTTAGAGGTTCAACTACATGTGTTTTTGCATAATGATCCAAGTAGTTAAATTAACGTTTTGCCTTTTATTTGTTATTAAATTGTTCCATTTTATCACATGGCATTCCAAATACACCATAAGGTTTGTTTAGCTCTTTCTTTTAACCCAAAGAAAAACATATACATTGGTGAAGGAAATAAATGCATCAAAAGGTCTTTTTCATGGGGGACAACATAGATATGTCACATAAGAAAAGCCCTTGTGTACAAAATTATAAATACACTATGGCCAAATTCCATTTAGCGCTTTGGCTTTAGGTGCTGGTGTCACTTAATGGAACTTTAGAACAAAAAGGGGCCATAACTAATGTTATTGATGTTCACTATCCTCCAATTCAACGTAGTGCCCGAATGCCTGCATCATACATTAATCTTTTCGAATTATTTATATAACGTTTCATTACATGTTACTTGTTAGACGCCTTTATCCAAAGCGACTTACATACTCAATACTGTGTGGACAATCCCCACAGGAGCAATTTGGGGTCAAGTGTCTTGCCCAGGGACACAATGACATGACTGCAGTGGGGTTTGAACCTGTGACCCCCTGATGCCAACACCAAGGCTCTATCCATTGCGCCACACGCCTCCCTAATAGCCAAGATCTCCTCCAATGCATCTTTCATATGCTTAAATATTTTATATTCCAAGTCATCCCTCCAAGGGGCAGTATTACCCTCTCCGTATTGCACTATGTATCTCTTACAGTGAAACGAATACCTTAATCCCATCACTACTATCAGGGTTTACTTCAAGTTTATATTCTACATTCTCAAGCTTTTCTACCCCCTTCTTCAACGGTCCCTCTCTACGCACATAACTATTACTGTGTACAGTCTGAAACCATTCCCCACAGATAGCGAACTCCACAATGAAAAACTGCATGATAAACTCATTACCAACCTGAAATCTTGTTGACCTTCCATCATTCAGCAGCAACAGAACATTTTTCCATGAAATCTTCTAAAAAAAAGGCTGCAATCCTTTCTCTCCTCATAAAATGGATTAAGAGACATTTCCCCTGGTTAGAGAAAGTGGGACAAATTGCAAGAGACACAAAAACAAGCATAAAACCAGAGCAAAATGTTCAGTGTTTTATTTAAAAACTATAAACAGTCACCAAAGTAAATAAAGCCAATCTCTAACAGACTGTTAGGTCTATGTATAGTCACACATCCTACCGACACCGCAGAAATGAGGATGGTGGGGTCGCCCCGGTCAGATGCTAATACGACAGGCAGTCAGAAATGTTACACAACACACGGTAGAGAGGACAGTCTGAGGACGTGAGCCGGAATGTGGCATGGTATTAAGAATGAAAAAATAGTACAATAAAACTCCACACTATATTAAGATAGAAAAAAGTAGTGAAGAAAATATCATACCTGCACGTAAAGCAAAGAACACAGGAGAAAACCTGTATAAAAACTCCATGTATTTAAACCAATTTACAAATACAAAACAATTTCAGTACGCGCACTGTGCCCGTACAATGACAAAATGCTTACAGTGGATAAATGTTACGTGTGTGTGTGCGTGTTGAGGAGGGGGCTTGTGAGGGAAGAGGAAGGGAAGAGAATACCTTCAATATTTTTTTTTCTTCTACAAAATGACATGAGATATATTATTCCATACTCTTTCAGCCAGCAAAATGAGTTCTACAAGGTATTATTATACAAAAAATGTCACAGTTCCACAAAAAACTGTTTTTATCCCCTCCCTAAGCTTTACAGCATCAGTACCTTTGCAGAATTATTTACAGGTTTTTAAGTACATTCATCCACTGCTGAGTATAGAATCACATTAGATACAAGTGACCAGGGATCATAAAAAAAGCAAAACAAACAAAAAAACATACTACTTTATTCAATTCTACCAAAGTAATGCTTCTATTACTCCACAGAGCAAGTTCTCCAGTGGCTGCATCGGCATCAAAGAGGATCTTCTTTATATATATTCACAACATATTTACAAGATTCTTTTTCATTAATTGTAATGGTATTCATTTCAATAATAAATAAGTGAAAATATATTGACTCAAGTAAGAAAACCAAGCTACCAAGTTCCTAAAGATTTTTTTTTCCTAAATCTGCGCCGGTTTCCAGCTTAGTCCTCCTCCAACCAATCGGTGAGAGTCCTACATTAGCCCCGCCCCCTTCGCTCCAATCCGTCCTCTTCAGTCGACCGCCACTCATTCCAACGCACACATCAGTTCACGAGACCAAGAGGAAAATAAAATTAACAAAAAAACGTAAGGAAAATGTGCTCGTATTTTAGGGTTTCGTCGGTAGAGTCCCTCAGGGAAGCAGTCTTAAAGAGCCCCCCCTGGTGGGCAGCTGGTGGAAGACCCCGTGGCAGTTTATATTTGTGAGTGTGTGTGGATGGGGCAGGAAGGAGGTTAGGGATGAGAGGGGGTTGGCAAGAGGGTTGTTGTTGTTCCGGGTTCCTGCCCTCCGCTCCCCCTGCTGACCCGCTACGGCTCACTGGTGGTTTCCTCCTCTGGGCTCCGGAGGAAGAGAGTTTGTGGGGGGGTTGTTGAGCTTGTCCTTTTGGCGTTAAGCCTGGAGAGCGCGCGTCAGTTCGTAAAGGCATTTGGCGAGCGTGGTGGAAACCTCCATGTTACTTAGCGCGAGCACGGAGAGGTGCGTCTCATGCCTCTTTACCAACCTGAGAGACAAGGAGAGGAAACACAAAGTTAAGATTGTTTTGCTACATTCCACAAAAAAAAAAACTACACGAAGTGATCAAAAAACCTTATCAATACAATGCAATCCAGAACAGCACTAACACATGGATCAATCACCTCTGACACAATTTGTGGAACATTGAAAAAAGGTGCAATGTGCGCCTTCTCCTTTTCTTTTTTTTTTTTGAAATGGCTCCAGACACTCTCCTCTCCAGACATCACTTGAATGCTATTGCTTTCCGCTTCCCTAGTTGCTAGGCGACTTATTCTTATGAATTGGAAGCAGTCATGTCCTGTGGCTTACAGAACTTAAAAGGTTTCTAAACATGGAAAATAAAGTGTACTTTTGGTGGTTCCAAAAGTCATTTTTACAAGAAATGTCTTTGAAAGCACTAAAACTGCCATATCTGAATCTTCATCAAACCAGGATATAGATTTGCTTTAGACAACTGTACGAAAGGGACAAACAGCAGTCTCACTCCACGCTCCACTTACATGCGACCGCCGTCAGAGTGCTTGGCGATGTTCTTTAACGTTAAGGCAGCAGTTAGTCGGATGTGTTTGGTCACTGGTCCCTCTTTCTCATCCTAGGAGAGGAAACAAACAGAAAATATTCAAGAATTAGGATGATCAGGAAAGGTAATAACGTCCACCATGGCCAACTAGGAGCTTTCATACAAGAGTGACTTTGAAGAATAGGTCAGCTTGTTTTACTCACAGTGAAGTCCCTGAAGACCAGGTTTCGAGAGCCTCTACGAAGAGCCATGAGAGCTGCGCTTGGATGATTCACGATGGCCTTCGGTGGTCGCGGTGTTGGAGTACTGCCTGCCGCTGGCGGAGTCCTTCACAATGCATCAAGCGCAGACAACAGTCAAACATCGAAATTGTAATGCAGCATTTCTGAGAAAAACCAGTCCCCATGCTTATGAAAATGACCAAAACAAGAATACAGTGTTTTGCTAGGCATCAATGTTGTGTGGAGATTAATAATGAAATGTGTACGCACTGGGAAGTAGTCTGATTGGGACTTTGTGCCTGCTGCTCCTCTAGTTTGAGTCCAGCCAGTAAAGCCTCTCGAGAACAATGCTTATCCTGGAAAAAGAAAGAGCAGGAAAATAAACATCTTGTTTTAGGATTTTATGACATGGTAATGGTACAATAAAGAGTGCAATAGCAAAAACGCTGAGCAAACATCCGCAGCTACAATCCGGGGAAGGCGGATGGAGTGTTACCTGTAGATGTGTGATCAGGGACAGTCTCTGCCGGGGAAAGGGTTCACACCCTTCCCACTGACAATGGCCTCCATATACGCCTTTCCCACCATGCTGCGTCGCTGCGTGGTAAAACACCTGAGATGGCGTTTCAAACCACCTGGAGAAGAAAGCAGAAGTTATCAGCAAAAAGCTCAATTTAGACAAGGGGAAATCTGATTGGATGTCTGAGACGCGCACCGTTTACAGGACTGCCACAGACACTTGAAGTTGTGCCCAGCTTTCCTGGGATGCTCCGGGGGGGCTGCGGGGCTCTGCTGTGCTGGGCTGTGGTTTCCTCCTGGCTGCGATACAGGCGGCGTTACTGCAGGCTGAGAAAATAGGAAATAAATGTATGAGATTGTGACGGAGCGGATCACAGGAGTGACTGACTCCGCCCCCGTCACAGAGATATTTGATATATTATAAACCCATGACATAAAAATAGAACTTTGACAATTCATGATGTGTTGGCTGAGATGTAACCGAGACCAGACTCTGGGCAGAAGTTGTTCTCTCAGCTGATTTGCTCTAGGAGGTGGGTATCGGTGAAAGTCAAATGGTCTTAACTGACATCACCTTCTTAACCTCCATTACATGTTACTTGTCGGGGGACACAACAGGCATGCTGACTGCAGTGGGGATCGAACCTGTGACCTCCTGATCCGAAGATCAGCATACTAACGCACTGCGCCACAGACTCCACACAATAGTCATGTGAGGAAAGTGTGTTGGTGGGTGTCGAGTAGGATATTTTGCATTTCGGATCACAGTTATTATTGATTATATTTTGTAATGAATGTTAAAAACGCATGAAAAACCCCTATAACACTTAGCTTATCTCC